TCATAACTCCTTGTCGGCAAATTCAGCGACTGCTTTCCAGGTTCAGAAGCATACAGCGTGTGAATATTGACGACACAGCACTAGGCCTTCACGGCGACACATTCTGCAAACGAAGCTTTGTGGCAGGAATGGAAATCAGCAGTTGTGGGCTATGGCCGGAACTGAATACGTGACAACACCTGTATCGAGTGATGTCATAGGCTCGTCAAATCACGTTTGCATTGACCCGGGAAACCGGGTCCCCATGTCGTCCCCGCCCGCGATTTGTCGTAAGGAGTTGAAGCTCAAATTGCATGCGAAGACGAAATTTGAAGACGAAGTTCGACTGACGACGACATTCGGATGAGGACGAAACTCGGTCGTGAAGGCGAAATTCGGCCCGAAGAAGAAAGTCCTCATTGCTCAAGACCCATGGCCTGCCCATCGCAGACTTTTCTAGGCTCCTGGATGCTATTCGAAGACGAAGTTTGGCCCTAAAGACGATATTCGGCCGCGGCCCTGAAGACGAAGTTCGGCCGCGACGACGATATTCGGCCTTGGACAAATTTAAAGGCGAAGACGAAATTCAGCCGCGAAGACGAAAAGAGGTCGAATGTCAAATGCAGGGATGCCCCATCAGTCCAAAGTTCCATCCTCGGATCCCCAAGTTTTTCAGAGTCCTGCGAGAATGAGAGGCACGTGTCCAAGAGCCCCGCCTCCCAAATCAAACTGTACGTAGCCCCATCAGTCCCAGGCTCTATAAGCGAAGTTCACGGCCTATATTACTATAAGTCTATAAGAGTTCAAGCATATGGTCAGATTTCTGATTTTGACAACAAGAGCGCCCAGTGAGTCCCAGGCTCCACCCTCACACTTCGAAGTTTCGCAGAGTTCTGCTTTTGAAATGACGGGCGTCCCACCTCGGCGGCGCCCCACCAGTCCAAGGCACCATCCTCGGAGATCAAGGTGTGTAAAAGGTCCAGGGCTGCATCTCTCGGAGTTCAAGCCGTTTATACGAGTTCTGGTTAAATAGCCAAAGGCACCGCCATTTGTGCAGGTATCCTCGGAGTTCAAGGTGCAACAAATTTGAAGCCTTGTTAACGTTCTTTCTGATCTCGAAAGCTGGGGCGCCCGTCAGTCCAAGGCTTCACCCTCGGAGTTCGAGGTTTCCAAGAGTTCTGCTTTTGAAATGATGCGCATGCAGTCCAAGGCTCCATCCTCGGAGTACAGGGCTTAGAGGAGTTCTGATGTTCAAGCAATGGGCGCTCGACCAGTCCTATGTTCCATCCTCGGAGCGCAAATTTGTTGTTTTCAGAGTATTGTTTTCAAAATCAAGGGTGCCGCTTCATTCCCAGGCTCCAGCAAGCTGCATCCTCGGAGATCAAGCTTTTCAGAGCTCTGATTATCAAACAGTGGATGCCCCATCAAACGGAGATTCCATTGTCGGAGTTCAAAGTGCACACAGGTTCTGATTGTCAGAGGCGCCTGAGGTCAAAGTTCCAAGAGTCCTTTTTGTAAACATTCGCTCCATCCTCGGAATTCAAAGCTGTAAGAGTTCTGAGTGTTAGTCCATGTGC